CGATTGGCGCAGGATAGAGCAGGGTTTAGGGCTGTTGTGCATAGGGTCGCTATGAGTCGGAAACGACTCGACGGCACATAACAACAACAACAACAACCACAGTTCATAAGGAGTTGTGCTTCTTAGCCAAAGGCTACATGTTTTAAGTGTTTGAAATCTAATAGTGGCTCCAAGGGAGAAAGATGGGTAACCTTCTATGCCAAATACAGCCTCAGAAATCTAATGGAGGTTCAGCTATGAACTGGTTCCAACTTGAGGGAAATGAGGTTTTGTTTGCTGTTGTGTTGGGTTGTTGGTTTTTTTGTTTTGTTTTGTGTTTTTAGCCATCCTCTTTTCTTCTTTTTGTTTTACCTCCCCTGCTCAGCTTTGAAGAAACAATGAGACTTCCACATGCCAGGGAAATTTCACAAAGGAAAATAATGTGTCATGGCATGCTTAGCCCCTTCTGGAAACATGTTAAATTTGAGTTCAGGAATGATGCTCTTGTTATATATGGTAGAGTCAGAACTGACCTGTAGATGACCCTCCAGCTGGTTTTCAGAGGCAGTTAATCGCATGAGAGGAGATTGCCCATCTTTCCCCCACAGAGCAGCTGGTGGTCTTGAACCCCACGCTTTCGGGATTGCAGTGAAGCTTCTTGCCACTAGGCCACCAGAGCTGAGGATTCCTTATTTGATCAGGCTCCTAGATATCATGGAGAAGGCAGACCACTGGAATTAGCACTGGATGAATTGGTTTCAAATCCTGACTTCTTTTTTAATACCCAAATTATTTGTCTTCTCTAATAGTTATGCAGTTAAGTTTTTCACAAATTAAACGATAAACACAATTTTTGATGAATATTTTATGAGCACCTGCTCTGTGCTCTCTAGACTATGCATATAGAAGACTTCTAGAAGTGTCTGGTAGAAGGAGCTATGTGACCTTATATGATTCTGAGTGATATCAAGGGTAAAAGTTACCAAAAGATACCAAAGCTGTGTCTTACTCACACTGCTCTATTTCAAAAAATAATAAATTGCTCAAAAGAATGAGGATATTGGAAACAATACCATATTTGGATGTTATACTAACATGTGACCTTTTTAAAGTTTATAGTTGGTTCTCCCTATTCCTGCTATTCTTGTAAGCCCCCCTCATACAATTGGTGCCAATTGGAGACAATTGGTGCCCTCACACACAATTAGGATTACTGGAGTGAAAGAAAATTTGAACCTCATATAATTTTCCTTCTCACACTAAAATTTGATGCTAAAACCCCCTGGAGAACATGTCTACCAAATGCTATTTCCCAATGTGAATGCCATGTCAGGGAGAAAGAAAATATATCAGCGAGTATTAATTTAAGAGAATTTTTGAGCCAGTACTGGGCATGGCACATTTTTCACACAATTTGTCAAGACCAGGCCTACTTACAAATGCTTTCAAGGAGTCCCCATCTCAGATGGCCCCATGTAACAGCAATGTGATCAGTGAGAATCATTACATGTCTCAGACTTCTTTCTCTTGAAGGGTCTGTATCTCGAAAATGGCTTTTTAAAAACTTGGATATGAATGCATGTACCGGGTGAGAGCTCGCTTGGAGCGATGATCTGCGATTTAAATGGATAACCTCGGGGTTTCTGTGTTCTGCAGCCACAGTACACAAACCTGGGGCTCCTGAACAGCATGGACCAGCAGATTCAGAACGGCTCCTCATCCACCAGCCCCTACAACACAGACCACGCGCAGAACAGCGTCACGGCGCCCTCGCCCTATGCACAGCCCAGCTCCACCTTCGACGCCCTGTCGCCATCACCAGCCATCCCCTCCAACACCGACTATCCAGGCCCGCACAGCTTCGACGTGTCCTTCCAGCAGTCAAGCACAGCCAAGTCCGCCACCTGGACGGTAAGACCACCGGCCACTTGCATCTGTTGTTAAGCAGGACCATCAGGTGCAGGCATCAACTTTCAGCACCATATAATAAGAACTTTAAGAACGATAATAATGTGGTAATTGCTTCTCAGAACTTAAAACATCAGTATTAGGTGGTAGAACACATTCCTCTTTCCTCATCCCAAAGACATTTTTTTGTTTTCTTTTTTTAGAATAGTTAACCAGAGAGAGAAAGAGACAAAGGAAAAAGGAGAGAGTAAGAGAGAGACTGAGAGTTGTGTGAGAGAGATTTCAGCCAAGTTTCCACCCCTACTCCCCTCCCCCAACTTTACACTGTCGTCAGGTTCTCCCAGTGAGCTTACTGGAACGTGTAATGGAGAATGCCAATGTAAGGTAACCTAACATTAGGATATTTGCTTCCAATCCCCAGAATACAAGGTATCTTACAGGAAAAGAAATGTCACATGACAATGTAATAAAATAAGTTTCATTTTGAAAGAAAGTGTAAATTTGTGTATACATAAAGTCCTCACTAAAGGAATGACAATTTATATATATATATATATTTTACATCTGTGAAGATTTTACTCCTCAAAAAAAAGTGTGTAAATCTATTTATCAGGACCCTGAAGAGGTCCAAAGAGATTCTGATTTAGCTGGAAACTCAATACACAATTTTTTTGCATGTGTGACTTTTGAAAGAAAGTATAGGTTATTTTAAGCAGATTTACAGGTACAGGGTTATTTCATTTCTGTCAGAAGGTATGTATGTATTTAAACATGGATAAAGCCCAAATAGAAGAAAGAAACTTATAAGGTTTTATTTAATTGTTCAGTCCAAGGAATGATACAGATGTCAGTAGCTTGTATGTTTGTCATACAGTTTTAAGCATTCATGGATTATAGAAATGTTTTTAGATATCAAATTTGGCCCCTCTCCCATGTCTTGTTTACCTCATACTTTTGGTCTCCCTCAAATTAATAGTCTTGGAAATTAAAACTACAGGTGAGTAAATTTAGTCGGTAAGCTTAAGTAAACATTGATTTAGTCCTCTGAAGCAATACTTTGCTGAAGAGTCTCTGGGAAAACCATTTTCTCAATGAAACACAATGTATCTTAGAACAGCAGTCACCTATTATCTCCTGTAGCACAATATATGTTGGACTGCTGATAAACAAAGTTTTCCATTTGAATCCACCAGTGACTCCATGGGAAAAAGATGGATAATCTCCTGTAAAAATTTACAGCATTAGAAGCTCAGTGGTCACCATGAGGCAGAATCTGCTCAAGGGTGATGGGTGTGATTATTATTTTTTTTCTCCTTGAACATTTGCAATCACTGATCTTTAGTATGAACGTTTATCGGTTGACACACTGACTCAGAGTGCTGTTATATTATAAACAGGTACAACTCAGGGCATGCTGGGTGTACTTAGGACCACTGAATAACTAATAATTTCTCTTTAAAATGGTTCCCTAACCCTTAGTGGATAACTTGTACATTACAGAATTTATCTTCTCTCCTCTTAATATTGAAAGTCTTTTTTCAGTCTGACATGTCTCAACACATATCTAACTCATCCCCACTCAGAGTATCTTCTTTTAAATAATTCACCTGTCTTCTGCACAGGTCAGAGAACATCTACTTAAAATGTAGAGTAAAAAGAAAAGACAGTGTTGGGGTGTGGACAACACTGATAATATATTCTTAAATGTGATGCAGTGTTATCAGTACCTTGGCACACAGAAGTAATGGGAGCCAGAGAACCTAAATCCTTGCCTTGCTAATCTGCATGATGTTAAGCCAAGTCACGTCAACTTTCTAGAACACAAGCTCTCTGCCTCTGTTCAATGAGGAGAGTGAAACTTGTCTTTCCTCAGATGAAATGATAATGTTAATAAATCAGCATAGAACGTTTCCAAGAGACACTTAGGTTCTAATCAGATATGTTTCTCTACCCTTAACTAAATGACATTGGTTAAATGGTTTCATCCTTGCGATAATTTCCATCTACTTCACTTCTCTGTTGTTTACTCTGGAGACTTTATAGACTACACTTCACCTCAAACTTATTGCCGAGGAGTCCAAAGCAACTCATAGCTGACCCTCGAGGAGGTTTTTAGAGACTCTAAATCACAGAAGAGGAGACTACCAATCATTCTCCCATGGAGTGGATTCTAACTGCTTGCCTCTGGTTGGCAGTACAACCCACCAGGCTGTGAGAGCTCCCCATGGGAATTGAATTAAATATCCATTCCCATTTATTAAATTTAGATTTTTACTTAAACTTTCTTATTTTAGGCATATTTATATTTCTTCTAAATTGTAGGCAGTGGTACCCTACTGTTAATTGTTATTGTTGTCAGAGTCAGAATTGAACCATACCTCACCCTCCGTGGATTTTCAGAGGCAGTAAATCTCATTGGAGGAGATTTCCCATCTTTATCCCTTTGGGATTGCAGAACAGCTTCTTACCACTAGGCTACCAGAACTTCCTGAGTAATCCGAATAGTGGCTGCTATTACCCAAAGCTGTGGATGTTCTTGGTCACTGATACCTGTCTTTTGCACATAGCAAAACTGAACCCTGAGCCAAGTGTTCTATCTTCACACTTTCATGGATTTCAAGTTTTTAAAAGTATCATATTATATATTTGAGCATTACTTGAGCATCATAGGCAAGGATGTTACCCTAGTTTCAGGAAACAACCAGAAGTAAAGGTTTTGTGGATAATAGACAACCAGGAGAGAGAAGCCAAATCTAATCATTCCAGCTGAAGGCTCTCCTTCTTCCAGTTGAAAGGCTCTCTCCTCTTGATTGATGGAAGGCAGTTAGAAATGGCAGCTGACCCTGCTAATGTGGAGCTGGTTCTTATACCCTGCAGTCCAGATGATGGAGGAATTTTTATGTCAAGATTACATAGCACCTCTTTCAAAGACATCTGTGTATCTGAAAGGCAATTTTCAAAAGAAAATACTACACTTTAAAACTGCTCACAATCTGGAAGCAACAGAAGACCCACTTATCATTAGGGAGAGGCCGCAATTCTGATAAATCTTTCAATTTCTTCTTAGTCCCATGTCAGTCTCCTTCCAGGTTATTTTTGCCTCTTGAAAACCCCCTGGAAGGTCAGCTATGGGTTGATTCCAACTTGATGGTACACAACAACAACAAAAACAACCACATTTATTACTTGTTTCCATTTGCCTTGAATTCTTCTTTTCCATTTCTGGTTTTACTTTAGAAGTGAAGAGAGTCAAACTGTAAATGCTTTTTTAAAAAAATATCTTGCTTTTTGTCTATTGTAAACAAATGAAATTGTGTTTCTTTTGTAAATAATATTGTAAAAATATTTTAGACTCTTTTCAGGGAAATAGTGACAACACTCCCCACCCTCCCCAGCTTGTATTTTCAATGTACTCTACACAAGTGCATGTTCATTCTCTCATATCCTATTTTCATAGCTTCATTGTCACTAGTTGTAGGGGCCTAGCATTTAAAATAAAGTTATGCTAGTCTAGTATGGTAGTTGGTCATTATTACCTACAGATGATAGAGTGGTAGTGTGGAGATGGTAAGACATGTAAGCACAGATCTCAACCTGCAAACTTGCTAACAGCTGATGTGAGCTTCCCAAAGAATTCAGTCTCTCTGATTCTCACTTTATTCATTTACAAGTGGGGATGTTAATACTTTGCTTAACCTGAGGACTAGAGACCTTGTGTAAAATACAGTGTTTCATAGGCACTCAGTGTTTATTGTTTTTTAGTTGGAATCTTTCTTGTTTTGAGAAGTTTTGCTTAGTAATAATTTGAGAGCATGCAAAAAAAGATGTTTAGTACTTAAAAAAAAACACCAAACCTTTGAGGTCATTAACATGCATATTCCAGCCCCAAGGGACTTTGATACTATCCACTATCCAAATATATGCATCGATGACATGGAGATAAGAGACTTTCCCAAATGCGCACTCTGCGGCTGCCTGTGCCACATGCCCTGCCCTGCCCAAGAGCAGACGCAGGCCATCCTTGCCAACACGAGGGTGGCCCTCTCCCAGATTTAAGGATATATGCTCGTTAGCCATAGATTCTTGATTTTTATTTTAGGTATGCATTGTGGTAGTAGTAGCAGTAGTCATTGTCATCCCTGAGATAAACAAGGGGCCCAGTGGGCTCCATCTATTCACTTGCCTGCATAGTAATCCATACTGCTAAGGTAATGGGAATCACCTAGTCACTCACTAACGGGGACTAGTTAAAGCTGTGTGACCCATTCATATCACAGCCATTTAATGGCTACATGGCTATTAGAAAAGAATCACATGTGCTGATATGGAACACTTTGGGAAAGGTTTCTGAGGAAATGGTAGCTTTCTCTGGCACCTGCTTGAGAACTGAATGGGTGATAATGACCACCACTTCCGAATGTGGCGTGTTTGTTATCTTTCCGCTTGACTCTAATATGAGGCCTGTCTGTGAATTCATCTGCCTTGACCATGACTGGAATCACCTTTGTCAGTTTGACAACTGTTTCCTAATAACCCAGGAGCCACTGCAAACTCTCAGTCCTGGGAAGGCTCTCCCGGTTAGGGTTTTTTGTAGTGCTCAGGCAGAGCCTGTTAGGTATGTGCCTGTTAGGCAAGTGGTCACTTTTTGCTGTCCCCTGACATAGTTCCTAGCACAATACCCAGCCATAGACCCTTAATAAATATTTTAAAAACTTACACACACGCACACACACACATACAGAGAGAGAGAGAGAGAGCGCGCGCAAAGAAAATAAGTACAGTGGCAAGCACTACTATCAGTCAGCACTGACTCTGCTGTCTATGAGCTTAGTCCCTTCTGCTTCCACTCATGGTTTACAGAAAACATTCTTCCTTTGCTTCTCCTTGTGGAATCAGCCATGTGTTGTGTTGGGGACTTTGAAGAATCTCACTTGAGCAAGTCCAGAGATTAGGGATGTGGCGTTTGCAAGGGAACAGCCAGTTCCCGGGAGAGTTTCATTGAT